AAGTAAGACATTTATTAAGTGAGCTTTGTCCCATTTTATGACCTTTCTTGTCACAGTTGTTAAGTAAATCACTGCAGCTGATAAGTTAGTAACTTGGTTGTTAAGTGAATCTGACTTCCCCATTGACTTCGCTTGTCTGAAGGTTGCAAAAGGGGATCACATGACTCCAGCACATTGCAACCGTCATAAGCATGAACCAGTTGCCAAGCAACTGAATTTGGGTCACATGATCAAAAATGGGGATGCTACAAAGGTTGTACATGTGAAAAATGGTCATAAGTCACTTTTCTCAGTGCTGTTGTAACTTTAAACGGTCACTAGATGAACTGTTGTAAGTCGAGGACTACCTGTATACAATATGATATTGCAATAATTACAGTGATTTGAGTCCACTGTGTTCCCACCCCAAATTTTATCAGCACAAACATTTACAGACCCAATTTTCATGATCAGGAAGTATGAAGTCTGAATGCAAATCTGTTATCTTGAATTTACAACTTGAGATTGCAGGTGAAAGCTTTAGTGTTGGAAACCAGAAATTATTTATTTATTATTAAATATATATGCTGCCCATCTCAATATTCAAAGAGGCTTACAATACTAAATGTAAATGATGGGTACCCTAAATATGCTGCAATAGTTCACACCTGCAATCTGAAGTGATAATGCGAATTTGCAATTTCATAAAAACAGGCTTATGAAGCAAACAAACATAACTGAAAGATACCCAGTATTTATTAAACCCAGTGTCTATTTTCAAATAATAATTAACTTCAGCAAACAGGAAATTCTTGCATCTTTATTCTTCCTCACACTTGCAAGAAATTGACATTTGTGTAAAGAAATGAAAGGGGGGAAGGGGAGAAAGCAATGCATGTTTGTATTCAGTATATCCAAACTAGGTCCTTAGAAAGTGTCAATTCCAAACTAGGCCCTCTGTAGTGTCAATTCCACCACTTCCCAGTTGGATGACAACTAATGAGATGGTAGGAGATTGAATATGAGGGAAAATCCATGCTTCACTGAGTAAAGCGGGGGGGGGGGGTTGTGTTCCATTACTTCTGGAGGAGACTGTGGTGTGCCCCCTGCTCAAGAAGCTGTGGTTCAATCCAATTGTTTTGGGCAACTTTTGATGTTTCTGCAAGTAACAAGTTCATTCCAAATTATTCAAGGGGGCTACTTTTTCAACATTAAAATGCTCTTCTATTTTATTTCATTATTTACTTAAGTAAATTGATATCAAAGCATAAAATATCAGCCTTAATGGTGATCAGGAATGGGAGATATTTATGATGATTCTCTAAAACTTCCTAAAGTGCCAAGAGAATACATATAGCAGAATGAACAATTTAATTCAGATATCAAATACTGTATAAAAATATGCTACTTTCCTTAGCCAAATATTCTGTAATCTCTACAGCTACGATAATAATTAACAAAAAATTATGTGGCATCAAAAAACTGTCAAAGTGGAACCAAAATACATTCAGGAGCCACAGATAACACGTCAGATAACTAAGTCTAATTACTTACCTCTTTCTTGACATGCATTTTTCCCAATGTTAGACGTTAGTCAATCATCAAGATTTTAAAGCATTCTGTTGCAATAAAATAACACACTTGACTTATACACATTACCTGGCAATGTATCGCTTCCCCATGTACTGAAATTGATGCAAGCATACTCTGAAAGAGAGCAAAAAAGAAGTCACCCTGATTTAGCTGACCTAGTCCTAGTTAACTATCCACAAACTGTGCTAATGTTAGAGCTAAAATAAGGGATAGATCATATTCTTTCTCTTGAATTTAAGATTACCTCACCATGTAGGTACTTTTATAATTGAAATGTTTATGATATTACAACATCATATACAATACTTAGAGAGCCAGTTTGGTATAGTAGTTAAGGTATCAGGCTAGAAACCAGAGACACTGAGTTCTAGTCCAACTTTAGGCACAGAGATAATTGGGTAACTTTGGGCCAGTCACTCATTCCCAGCTCTAGGAAAGAGGTAATGATAAACTGTTTCTGAAAAACCTTGCCATGAAAACTGCAGGGACTAAGTAGTCTTCAAGAATAGGACACAAATTAACAGAAATACAGTCGCAATAGCACTTAGACTTATATACCGCTTCACAGTACTTTATAGCCCTCTCTAATCAGTTTACAGAGTCAACCTATTGCCCCCAACAACCTGGGTCCTCCTTTTACCGACCTCAGAAGGATGGAAGGCTGAGCTAACCTTAACCCAGTAAGACTTGCAAGTCAGCAGAACTAGTCTGCAATACTGCATTCTAACCACTGCGCCACCAAAGACATACAATGTTTATCTAGAATGTTACATATAAGATTTAGACTGTGCTGCTAATAGGATAACTGTATGGTATTTCAAACTTACTCTGTAATAGTAAAAAAATCCATAAGTTCTGATGTTGAGGCCTTGTTCCAATATGTAAACAAAGCATCTACAAAGTACAAGAAAATAAAACTGCAATTAGAGCAATTATTTTTAGACTTAAGGAGCTAAAAAGAAGCTATAATTCTGCTACATTAAGTGAATCCTCCGTTAAAAGTACTTACTAATCAATTTTGAATATATATGTACAATATAGATACCTTTACTGAACAGTTAAGAACCAAATTCAAACCCTTCTCCAGAAACAAATTGAGATTCTGTGCTACTGAAGACTAAGCACAATTTATCAACTTGAGGCTGACAATAATATGAAATTAAATAAATCAGTTTCTGAGTACCGGTGGTTTTGATCAATCAGTAATAAATTATTATTAAATTAGTCAAACTACTAGTGAGTGGATATCCATGAAGTAATGATCTTTAATTAAATTACCAGGGGGATTATCCCATAGATATCCTTGAATCTGATTACCCTCAGCAACATTGAGAACTCAAGTGGAATAATGGAGAATAACCACTGATGCAAACTGCCGCTATCCTAAATGAATAGACTTGAACCATACTTTCAGATACAAAGTAGATGTGCTACTAATATTGGAATCTGACAAATGTCAGAATTCCAGAATCTTGATATTTTGGTGCTGAGGAATTAGTCACTGCAATTGATCTGAAAGTAATTGATAACTGGTACCAAAAATGATTTTGAAACAGTACCAAAGAAATAAGTAACACATCAACACATTTGCATTTGTGTGTGCACACGCAAGTGCATTACAAGGGCTAAAAAAAGTTGAGATAATATGAGAAACTTAGTGCCGGGCATGTACAGAGTTACAAGGGAGAGGATCCTTTCTTGCCCCAAACAGCTAATACACAATTATCCAAAAGGTTACTCCAAATGTATTACAAAAAATGTAAGTTTTCCTTTACCATCTGTCATGCTTTTTAAAACATGAAGGAAGCACATCAGTAAACTCCGTATCTCAGCTTGATCTAGTTTATCACAACGAACAACAGAACTTCCTGAAATGCAAGCCTGCTGGTTCTGAAAAACAAGGCATTTAAGTATTTATCTCAATCTCTCAAAAAGAAGACACAATTGTATTCTAACACTCATGTGAGAACAGTACAGATGATTACAAAATTCAGCATACCAAAAAAAAAGGACAAAACTGAATTTTATTTTATTAAATTTCTATGTGTTTATATGTTTCTTACATCAAACTTCCTTAAATATAATGATATTGATAATGATATAAATGTGTGATAGTATTTAATAATATGAGAAAGCTTTTCTGGGTCATTTTCCTATATTTGCAAAGCTGGAACCATCCATCTATCATCCAGCCTTTGAATGCTCTTTTATATAAAATTCCAGATTTGTAATATTACCTTTGTATTTATTTTATTAATTTGTTAAAGCCATTTTTTTTTTCTCCACAATCCTGTAGAGCTGAGAAAGGCTGACTGGCAGAAAGTCACCCAATAAAGATAGACTTGAGCCAGGACATCCCAATTCCTAATTCACCACTTTAATCACTGTCCTTCTAAAAAAGTGCTTGCTTTAAAAATAGTCAAGGAATTTTCTTCCCTACACTTTATAACAGAATAAAATAGTTGGAAGGAACCCTGGAGGTCTTCTAATCCAACCAGTCAAGCAGGAAACTCTATACCAGTGGTGGGTTTCGGATCCCATTGCAACCCGGCAACCGGCACATGAACACGTAAGGTGCGCGCATGCGTTGTACCTTCCAGCGATGCCTCCACAAGCCTCCACGATGCTCCAGCTGCTTGGTGGAGTGTTGCGCAGGCGCTGTACGTGCCATGCACATGCGCAGAAGCGCCAAAGGCTTTAAAGGACAGGTAAGACGCTCGGGCGGGTGG